CAAACCCTCTCTTGTTCCTTTGTGCTCAACCAACATACGTGGCGAGATACAGATCTGACTGTTTGTAAAAACACCTTACAATATGCGCATCCACTTACAATGAATGTATCAGCCTAACTTCATCTATTCAGTGTGCATAAAAGTAGATAATATGATAATTTTAGTCATTTTTCCACTTAAATTCCACTTTTTTTCTCTATATGGTAATATCACTTACTGAAATAATGGATAAATAGATACATACACACTAGATCAAATAGCACACAAAGTGTTATGAAGACAGCATGAGGTGGGAACCGGAAATCAAATATAAAGAGGGCTGAAATGACCTTAATTACCTTGAAATGAGAAACAGATGCTGGTATCACTGGTTATGCTGTCATGCGTTTATTGTCTTATCGATGATGAAAAATGAAATGGATTTGTTATCGATTTATGGGGAAGAGGAATTATTTAATTTCACGATCATAATTGAAATTATGCCTGTTCATCTCAAAGTATATGACCCATATTGCAATACTGAGAAGTTTTGCTTCCTCAAACAAGTACCTCACAATTCATCCGACAGCATTTATGAGACGTAATGCAGAACTGCTGACCAGATCATTTAATCTTATTGCATTTTATAAAGAGATTACACCATTATGGGTGTTAAATTAAATCATTTACATCACATTTGCACACATACAGAAAGGTTTTTACCTGCCAGGCCTGTTGTGCAGATCAGATCATTTTGCCTTCGGTTGTCTGTAGGTGTAAAGCTCACAAATCATGTATTAGACAGGATATTTAACTCGCTCATGTAAATACTCTGGCACATGTAAGATCTACTGGCTTTCTTCCTTTCTGTCTGCTGTACTTTTCCTGTTCTTTCATTCACTTCTTCCTTTCTGTCTTCCTGCTCTACACTTTTGACACATGCTGATGATTATCAGTGCTATTCTGGGTCACTGAATGTCTGCCAGGTGATTTTAATGTCACTCATTCCTTCATTTTAGTGTAAGGAAATAAACACATCAGTGCAGGACACAGATATATTAGTAAGTGAGATGAAATTGCTTTGCAGAGCCTTTGGCAGAACATTCACTGAACTAATAAGGACGATTAGGTGATTTCAGGGGTGGGTGAGTGAGTGAGTGAGTATGTCAGTGTGTTCAGACCAACCCCTCATTTCCTCTTTCCCTGGGGGCGTGTCTGAACCTGCCCCCCAACCAACTAGCAGCTGTATGATGAATGTCCAGGAACGCCCCTCCGTCCTAACACAATGGTTCAGATGAAAGCAATGAAAACATTAAAGCAGGGGACAGACCAGGGGATTCGACAAATGCGCACATGGTGTTATGTTGTGTGCTTTTTTTTATTTTTGGTATTATAATTACTTATTTTAGCACAAAAAGGGGTAAGGGTGCATGTGAATAGAACTTATGACTCGATGCTCCATGTGAATGCTTTCATCACAAAAATGTATGTTAACGTGTTGAATATGATGAGCACATTGTTCCTTACAATGGATGCTACTGTAAATGCAGTAATATGCATATTACATTTAAAAAAGAAAACACAGCACACAGAAATAAAAGACTTTAAAAATCTACTCCCTCTAGAGGTAATAACAAAGCCTTTGCTGTCCCTGGCACTTTTGAAATACAGAGACCTGAATTAACACAATTTACAAATGTATTAAAATATGCATTGTTCTTAAGTAAAATTCATGTACTAGATTATTTAAAAAAGGCCAAATAATGAATTCTACAACTGAGTCAAAATGATATTGCATGTTAAGTCTTCTGCAAGATATTTTCTGCGAGTTCTGTTTTTGAAAACAAATCTGATTTGTTTTATATGTTTGAAAACAAAAATGCAACATGATTCCTGTTGCCAGACATACTGGCCTGTAAAGAATAAAACAAAACTTGTTTAGGATACGTTTGTATTATGATATTCTTTAAAGAGGTACTAAACTCTGGGAATGTGACCACTGAATCAATAGATCCACTCAAGAACATTATGCTGCTTTATCATTTTCTCTAAATACCTTTAAAAGCTTTTAATTGTTTTGAAATGCAATGCAATGACACATTATTGCAACCTAAATATCCAACAAGTTATGGTCAAAACCATATGCTGAAAGGTTCATTCTACTTTTAAGAGAAAATTAAAAATTTCAAATTCTCACGCAAACACATTTTTCTTATGTTGTTGGGTTCTTGTAATGAACTGATTGTTGATAGTTATCAGCTTTTGTTGTACATGTAAACACTCAATGTCTTAATGAACTGCACTGTAGAATGAGTGATCCCTGCAGTAATTACCATCTGCCTCCTTACACACACTTAGTCATGGAGAAATGCCAGAGAACAGAAAAAAAACACGTTTTTCCTCCGTTTTTCCCCTCACTAACACTTCATCACATTATACTGCGTATAACAGTAGGCTCTGTACAAAAATATAACTTAAATGTGGTGTTTGGAGGGAAGTTATCTGTTTAATTGCTGGCTGAGTCTTGGCTATCAATTATGAACTCCCTGATCAAAAAGAAGACCATTCTGCACTTTGAAGATGGTCCCATAGGTCTTAAATGAAGAAGCATTGTTATTGCACGACTTGTGTTGCTTTCTCTAACACACTCCAAAACACCAGTAATTGTCCCTCCATTTACCAGAGCATCTCGAGAGAATACACGTATTCCACTGCAAACTCAAACTCCTTAAAAAACACAGTTGCAGTTGGAGAGCATCATTAAATGACCATTTTTAAAGGACTTCAGGTGTGCTCCGGTCACAGAGGTGCCTCATTTGGGAGGGAGAAGACGGGAGAAGCACTTGACATTTGGATATGTGTGTGATGCACTAGTTCACTCTTCTCCCCCCGGCACAGCGGTGGCCAGTATTGGGGGGGAAAGTGGGGTTTTGGCCCATTAGCCGAATGTGGTTTAATGAGAGGAAGAAAGTGGGATGGAGAGAGAGAGGGCAGAGATAAAAGCTGATTTTTTTTAATGAGCAAAGTGTGAGTCAATAAGCAATGGGCGGCTTCTGCAATTCATGGATGCTTAATGACCATTTTAATCCCTAAGGCTACTATGCCGCCAAAACAATTGGTTTTCACCCTTGTATGGTGAAATATCCCAGCAACACCTACCCTCGGCCTGGGCTGCCTCTCAGAAAGGGCATAGGTTGCAATATACAGCCTGTTCTTAAAGGGGTCATATGATGCGATTTCAAGTTTTCCTTTCTCTTTGGAGTGTTACAAGGTGATTGTGCATAGATAAGATCCCTGAAGTTGCAAAGACTAAAGTCTCAAAACAAAAGAGTTATTCTTTATCAAAGTTAAGACTCTGCCACGCCCCCCTAAAACGGCTCGTCTAAAACACCCCCACATATCTACCTCACTATGTGGTCAAATGCGGAGTTTTGCGCATCGTGCGCATGCGTGTGTGTGCGCGTGCGTGTGTGTGAGAGAGAGGGGGGGGGGGTCACATCACAGTGGAGTCAGCTGTCTTAACCGTGGCTTGTGTACTGCAAACACATACCAGCTTCATCACTGTGTCTGTCACGTGACTCTGTTCCCCTTTCGGGCTTGAACTGATGGTAAAACTAATGCCATTATTTACTGTCTTTACATTTATTTTGAAAGATGAAGCGATTATGGTAAGGGGTGTTACATTTCCGACAAGTGCTTGTAGTGTTCGGCCAATCACAATGCACTGGGTCAGCTGGCCAATCAGAGCAGACTGCGCTTGTCGGAAGGAGGGACTTTGTAGAAAATGAAGGGTTTGAGAGAGGCGGGGTGTAGAGGACCTACAATAATGTACAGTATTTGAAAAATAATGTGAACATTAAACCATGCCAACATATTCTGTTACACCAAATACATAAAATAATGATCTTTAAAAAAGCATCATATGACCCCTTTAAATGTGGAACTAGATTCAGACAGAGTTATGGGAATATTAAGAACACTTGTTCTGATGCAAATGCAAAAGGAATTATACGAGAAGTACATGAGTTTACTATATAATAAAATATATTCAAATACATGATACTGCATTAACATTGCATTTCTCATGGTTTCTTATTTATCTTTTTATCAATATACATATTGTTTAAAGCAGTGGTTCTCAACTGGTTTGGCATTGGGACCCACGTTTCCCATGGTCATCAAGCTGAGACCCACTTACCATATATATATATATATATAATTTGTTAAAAAACGAAAACAAAGCAAATTAATTTCACAGAAATTAAGAATATGATTAATACTGAATAAACAGCCTATAAGGTATAAGGCTATTAAATAGCAGTCCCAAACTAGTTTTTGTTAATACAATTAAGTTGGTTTGAGCCATCACATTCATTTAAACATATACAAAATGACACAAAGTGAAAATAACATGGTATTATTGGGTTATGGAAACAACAGTGTTACCATGGTGAATATACAATACTAGAACTGTTAATGAAACGTGGAAACTGCTCCTGAATAGAATGCATATCATACCTTCATGCAAATCCTTCACAGCTAGCACACGCAGTACCAGTTATGTGATTTATCGGTACTGTACTTGTATTTCACGCGTTGCGTGCTCGTAGTTTCTGCGCTTTAGTGAAGTGATATAGCCTACAGTGCGCGCTACGAGCACGTTATAACATCTGGCAGGACAGGATAGTTCGTTTTTCTGAGACGAGAGACTTTTTGTTTCATAACAAGTTACGAAAATAACGATAGATTAATGACACTGACAGTAAGCCTGTCAACATCTCATCTGACCGCAGATACTGAATCGGGACAGCGTGTTTTTCTCAGGCACTCTTTACTTAAACTGCGTCTGATAGACGTGTCAACAGCTTTCATGCACGTGTTTTAAAATAAAAGTCTCGCATCAGAGAATCATTAAGAATTACGTTTTTTTGTTGTTGTTGATGTGCGACACATCACTTGAGAAACACTGGTTTAAAGGAATAATTCACCCAAAAATGAAAATTTGCTGAAAATTTACTCACCTCTGGCCATCCAAAATGTAGATGAGCTAGTTTCTTCATGGGAACAGGTTTGGACAAATGTAGCATTATCACCTGCAGCTGATTAAAACAGCACAATAATCCACAAGTAATTTAAATGACTTCAGTCAATCAATTAACATCTTGTGAAGCAAAAAGCTGTGTTTTTAATAAACAAATTCATCATTAAGGACGTTTTTAACTTTAAACCGCTGCTTCCGGCTAAAATATGAGGGCTCTCATTCTGACAGCACCCATTCACTGCAGAGGATTCACTGGTGATCAAGCCTGTGAAAATATGAGGAGAAAGGAGTGCTCATATTAAACAATTTAAGTGCCAAATTAAATAATATTATCAAAAAATAATATCAAGTAATAAAAAGGGACAAAATATTATCTGAAGGGGAACATAAATGCATAAATCATTGACCAAAGTCTAGTTCTCATGGAGACAACAGAAATTATGGAGCATCTGGTCATCATCTACTCCATTTACATTATCTTACATTGTCAGCTCAACTTCAGACGTGCTGTCCATATGGAAAAGGATATGCAGATTTAAAAGTGAAAGTAATGTGAAACCAACTGTATTCCACATCGCATTCCAGGCTGGACTTCAGTGGTCTGCACTCCTGAGCCACTGCCACATCAGATCTGGCACAGCTGAATTAATGGATGTTTGAAAGTAAATCCAGAATTCTCTGGGTTTGGGACAACATTTTCATGCATAGGCCCCCTAGCCCTATATTTAGCAGTGTTTTAGTGGAGCCCCTGTCATCATAAAGCCAGGAACGTTTCCAGCGTAGCATTGGGTAAATCACAAACTAGAGAAAACTGCAGATCTGAACAGCTCATAATGGTCCACAGGGTTTAGTTCCTTCAGTTTCAAGTAGATGACAAAGAACATTTGATTTCAAAACTGTACATTAAAGGGATAGTTCACCCAAAAATGAAAATGTTGTCATTAATTACTCACCCTCATGTCGATCCAAACCCGTAAGAACTTCGTTCATCTTCGGAACACAAATATATGAAATCTGAGAACTTTCTGACCCTGCATAGACAGCAAGGTTACTACCACGATCAAGGCACAGAAACGTAGCAAGGACATCGGTAAAATAGTCCATGTGACATCAGTGGTTCAACCGTAATTTTACGAAGCTACGAGAATACTTTTTATGCACAAATAAAACAAAAAGAATGACTTTATTCAACATATTGAATAACGACTATTTTCCTTGCTGCGTTTCTGTGCCTTAACCATAGTAGTACCCTTGCTGTTTATGTAGGGTCAGAGAGCTCACATATTTTAATTAAAAATATCTTAATTTGAGTTCCAAAGATGAAAGAAGGTCTTACGGGTTTGACATGAGGGTGAATAATTAATGACATAATTTTCATTTTTTGGGTGAACTATTATTGGGTGTGTGTAATAAAACAAGAAATTGGTAAATCTGATTTTGTCATGTAAAAAAAAAAAGTTAAATGTAGTTGTACTAGTAAATGTAACAATGTGAATCCAACTGTTTAAAACCACTGAAAGCAAATACAGACACTATATTTTTACCATTATTTTTTTATATTGACTCTAATATGTTTCGTATCTGTAAAATGCTTAAGATATTTCATACTTTAGTTAGCGTGTTTGAGATATAGTAAAGGTCTTAGAGAGTAACTAACCAAACGTACTAAAATAACACTATACATTTTTCTAGGTTTTGCGATATTTAGTTTTTATTGCAACGATTGCTTTACAGGAAACGTAATTGAAACAATAATCGCTGTTATGTGGTATTAAGGAGGTCTGAGTCATTTTTAACATAATGAGTACCTGAGCCATAAATCCAGGTTTGGTATCTGTTTGGTTAACAACCACAAACTACTGCAATCCTACTCAGACTCCTTTTACTAAATACAAAAACTCATATATGTTACAACCACATGCAAGCCCTTACATATATCAGAACAAACAAAACCACATACAATTTTCAGTGCTTGTTTCATTTCACATGCTTATCCTCCCTCTCTCTCACACAGACCTAGATCCAGATGTCCTTTGCTTTCAGCCAGTCTGTCTGCCAGCGGAGGCAAGAGAGCTGCCCTGGCATGAAGAGACAGACAGATGAAAGAGAACAAATGGAGACAGAGAGTAATGAAGCAAGGGGCAAAGTGAAGGAGAAGAGAAAGGTATGAAGACAGATATATACAGAGAGAGAGAGAGCAAAAAAGCGAGAGATTTTTTTCTCTCTGATGTCTTTATTGGCAGTTCACCCTGGGAGCTCTTCACTGCTACTTGAGTCCAGAGAGACAAGACCAAATGTGCTACACGTCCATTCTCCTCAACCTCTTTCTTTCTCACACTCTGCTAAACTGTCCCATATTATTTCTATTCTCCCTTTCACCTGTGTGCAGATGTAAGGTAACTAGGTTTCTGAAATGAAAACCAAGGACCAGTTCAGTGGTCGGTAGTATTATTAAAATCAGACAGTATTAATTAATTTTTGAATGTAGTTATCTATTAATTAAAAAAGAGCTACATGTTTTACTGTGATGGACTGTGGCATATATCTGTCCTTCTACTCTGCATTGTCATCGCTGACACTGAATTCTGACTTATTACACTGAGTTACTGCAACTAAAAGAATACAAAATATTTACTGCATACATATAATTCCGCTAAAGAGAAACCAGAAAACTTTTGGGATGCTATAGCAATATTTATGTAAAACAGACTCTGAAATTGAAATATACAGTATGCTACCATTTAAAAGTTTAGGATCTTTAAGATTTTTTGATGTTTTTATGCTCATCCAAGCTGCATTTATTTAATAAAAAATACTGTAAAAACAGTAATACTGTGAAATATTATTACAAGTTAAAAGAAGAGTTTTATATTTTAATATATTTTAAATGTAATTTAATTATGTGATGGAAAAGATGAATTTTTAGCAGCCATTACTCTAGGCTTCAGGGATCCTTCAGAAATCTTTCTAAAATGTTGATTTGGAGCTCAAGAAACATTTGTTATTATTGATGTAGAAAATGGCTGTGCAGCTTATATTTTTGTGGAAACAGAAATGTTTTGCAACATTAGCCTGTAAATGTCTTGACTGCCACTTTCTATTTAATGTGTCTGCGTTTCTTAGAAGAAAAAGAAAAGTATGAACAGTGGACATTTTTTAATTGTTTTAAACAGTGTTGTTTGAACTGGTTTAAAAAAACGTTTCTTCTTTACTAACTATATGGATCGACAACCTCTGCAAAACCCCTGGTCGAGCAAGTTGTTCCTCTCAGCAGGGCCTCACAGGTGTGAGTGATCTTTCTTCCTCCATCTCCTTCCTGTCTGTTTTTTCCCTATACTATGCATTCTTCCCCTGCAGTAGAGGGTGCTGTCTGGGGTACGGCTACAAATATCTTCAGATATAAACAGCGACACATCCCTTCCCTCTAGCGTTTTTCTACCAGGCTCACACACCCCCTTCGACAGTCAAAATTAGGGCCAGTTTATGAGATCTGAGGGGCCACTAAACACCACCTGAGATTGTTCACTGATTGCTGGGCCTGACTCGTCGTCCACACACAAGTTCAAACACACACTCTTAACCTGCACACCCGCCTAGTGCTTATCTTTGCCTTTGGCCAAAATCAGCTCCTTTACTCCTCTTCACTTCGAAAGAGCTGTCCAGAGAAAATATATAACCCACTTAATGTAGCACTCAACTTCTCTGAGGAGCTGAGAGATAGTATCAGATGTGGGAGTTTCCCTGCTCAGGAACCAAGGGTTTGTGGCTTCCAGAGAAACATACAATTGGTCAGATGATGCATTTAATTGCTATGTTTATATAATGGTGAAGGATTCAATTTAGTTTATGTTGTTTTAACTTTCTCGGCCAACATCTCCCACACAAGCAAAGGATTATCTGTTTCTTCTTGAATAAGCAAAAATGCCCTGTTATTTTTAAACGTGACGAAAACTTTTTTGAGTGTTAATGGCCTTTATCCTTCTAATCTGTTGTGTTTCACAGCAGAATTGTGGATCTAGAAACCAATTTTCCTTCATCACTCATCACTGTAGTTTATTAGCACCCTTTGGAGTTGCTCAACCTTTGGGTAAGAATGTCAAGCTCCTTCAAATAATTAAAAACTTTGTGGGTTGTCTCTCAGGTAGGTTGTATGTCAGGTTCCTAATTCTCCTGATGTACTGTTTTATAAGGGGCCGTGACCTAAGAGTCTGGCCCCTGAGAGCGCTCTGAATATGCTCTGCACAGAACATCCAGGTGCAGTCGGCTCAACAAGGCTATCAAAACAGAGAGATTTGTTTTGCCTGAGATGCAGCCAAGAGAAGAACCCCTTTTAAAATAATTCTTTATATTTGAGTGATGCAATGTTGTTATGTGTGAAACCACGGAAAGCAGTTTTGGCACCCGCCCAAGCCTTTACATACAGAGGGGGAAATGCCAGTCCAGGCTGCAGGAATGCAATAGAGGGTGCGATTTATGGGATCTGATTGTGAACAGGTTGTATGGTCTACATGCTTTATGACTGGGCTATGATTGCTTTGCCTATGAGGCCCTGTTGTTTTAAAGTAGCCTTTATCTCATGTAAATATATATATATATATATATATATATATATATATATATATATATATATATTTGTGTGTGTTTAAAAATACATTACAAATTCTCACATACAGTATATTGAATGCACCTAATCTATGATGAGCATGCATTTAATTCCTGTATTAAAATTCATTTTGAGATATTGTATAAGCATAGAGTAAAAAAAAGGAAAAATAGTCCCATTAAAAAATAAATGTTTTGATTTTTTTTTCAGCAAAGACACTGATCAAAAGTCACCAGAGGCGGACAGTAACTAAGTACATTTACTTGAGTATTGTACTTAAGTACACTTTTTGTGTATCTGTACTTTACTTGAGTATTATTTTTTCTGGGAACTTATGACTTTAACGTCACTACATTTGAAAGACAAATATTGTACTTTTCACTCCACTACATTTCTATCAAGATCCTCGAAGTAGAAAGTCGTTACTATGTAGCAGCTTTG